AAAATATTCAGAATTAAAAAATATATTTGCACAAAAATTAATTATTGCTAGAAAATGTGTATTCATGCAGAAATCACATTAAATGCTTGACTTGAGCACAATTATTAATTATTTTTATATTTTCAGTCTTAATTAGAGTTGAACTTGATATTCATTGCTTTGCGCAATCGAAATCTCATGATTTTAAAAGAACTCGTATTTTGGTGGCTCCCTTTTATTATCTTCTGCATCTATGTTGGATGGTTTTCTGATTTGAATTACATTACATGATTTTGTTTATTAGGTACATTTTCTATCATATTTAAAATTTTTGACTCAAGTTCATTATTAATTATTTTTTTATATTTTGCAGTCTTTTTGTATGTGATCTTAATATTGATCACTTTGCTAAGTCATTATATATAGAACATGCATTTTATTTGTCTATTTTTTTTGTCTGTCATATAATATTAGTGTCTGAATTATTTTATTCGAAAATTGATGTGGACGATTGAACATTTATTTTAAATCCGTCTCTTAAAATCATTTCTTTGTTCCGCATTGATGTTATTGGGACTCATTATAAGTTAGCCAGGAAGTGTTTCACACTATTAAATCTGTAATAAATAATTCTGAACAGTAATCAGAAATCTTTATCTGTATAAATATAATAAAAAGGGAATTATATAAATAAAATTTTGCACATACCAGTTATTTTTTACAAAAAAAATATATGTTTCTACTACTGATATATTTTTTATATTTTTCATATTTTTAATAGTTTGCCTTACACTTTATTATTATTTTCGAGACAATATGTTCTCTATGGTCTAAGAAAACTTTCTTCTCCACCTGATTACAAATTTTATATTGGTAATACTATTTATCCTAAATTGACTATTTGATGGGTTAGCAAATGAGAGAATGTATTCTCTTTATGTTTTTATTTATTGAATTAATGTACATTATTAATAAAAAATATTTTATAATAATTAAATTTATGAATAAAGAAAGTGCAGTATATATGTAATGAATTTAATAAAAGATTTAAGCAATAAGAAAAATCTTAATATATGAATAATTTGCTTAAATAGAAAACAAATTTTAAACTCAGTAATCTTTAAAAGCTCTCTTCTAATTCCTTTAAGTTCTTATCAGATAGTTTATAATAATCATTATTATCAGCTGATTCCTGTTCTTCAATTCTTTTAATAAGCTTAACAAATTCATTCTTTGTCATAACTCTTAGCCTGGGTGGATCAATCGATTCACTATCATAAATAACTTGCCAACCCAATCTTTGAACAAGTATCAATGAGCGTCTGGCCGCACCTATTACATTTTTGATTATTGCTGGTTTACTTTTGTGGTAAATTGTGGACAATTCTACTAATATTTTATATACACGACTTGCAATTTGTTCACCTTTGGCAAATTCACGATTCCAGTTATTTGCTTTTTGGTTTATTTCTTGTCTCTTTTCTCTATTCTCTTGATCAATCATAGTGATAAAGCCGGGGATAATAAATTGATTAGATTTCTTTAGTTTTTTTATTCTTTTCGTTAGTTTAAAAGAGATATGCACCAATTCGCAAAGAGTATGGATGTATAGAACTCTTGAATATTGAAAATTATTTTTGTTATTTGAGATTTTTTTCCAAATAGTTTTAATTTGACTTTCGATATCATCTCCCTTCTCAATTTCCATAGGCACTGGTAAAGAACACGAAAATTCTATCCACTTGTCAAATATTTCTCGAAAAATTTCAATTTTTGGTCTATTATTTTGGATAATTATTGGCATTAGATCTCCATTAATGTGAATATTGGTATATTTTTTTATTTCATTCTGCTAGATTTTTAAATCATATTAATATTAGATATAGGTCAAGTTAACATATTATAAATTCTTACCTGATCAAGCTTTTAATAAATAAATAAATTTTAGATAGTGATCATCAGAATTAAAACTTATGTATTGTATTCTGATTATAGTAAAACTGTATCAATATTTAATTTTAAATGTAGGATTATACTAATATAAAAAGAATAAGACTACATGCCTAAACTAAACTATATTAGTATATTTTTACTATAAGCAGGATATAATACACATAAATTAAACAGATCTCTTATTAAAACTTTTAATACTTGTAAAGATTGACTATCTTCATCTATAATATTATCTTTATTATTCACTGAGTCCAAAAAAATTGAGCTTCGAGAACTACCGAGTTGCATGAATGATTCCTTTTAATTTAATAATTTTAAGTAACAATCTCGTTAATTTATTTTTAAATTCAAAATTTGATTATGAATACTTACTTGAATATTATTATCCGATTGGCTTTGTAGCAAATTCTCTGTTTTGTCTACCTTTTCTATAACAACAATAGAAAAATTAGCACTTTCTACTCTTTTTTTAACTGAATCATTAGTAGAGCTATTTTGTGATGTTGATTTTTCTAAAATTTTTACATAATTTCTTATAAGTTTTTATTTGATGTAGTAATAATATACAATATAGTCAAAAATTGATATAATACCAAAAGGATCTGATAAAGTCTCATGATTTTTTTTCTTTTTCTTTGAAATTTTTTTTATATTTGAACTATCTTCTTAATCAGAATCTGAGATATCCGGCTATGTCTTATTGTTTTTGTCACTTTTTGATCTTTTATTTTTTGCACTTTAAATATCAAATAGTATTTTATATTTCTTTGAATTCACAGTTTCGCACTTCTTACAATATCAGTTTCTAGCAGGTATTCTTGTAAGTGGAAGTTTTAAACATCTAGTATGAAAATTTTTGCCACAGTGACCATCGCATAAGAGGATGTGGCCTCTATTATCTTTCCATTCGTATACAGAGCAACTACAAGATTTACAATATT